TTCCAAAATATACAAAGATGATGGTAATTTATCCGCACTGAAAATTTTACCGAAAAAAATGAGATTAATTATTTTTTATCATAACTTTTGTAATTTTAAAGTTATAAATTTACTCAAAAAAACATTTTGCAGGGAATTTAAAGCACTTTAGGTTCTGTGATTTGCAGTTTTTTTGAGCCCTTCGTTTTTTAGATTTGTAAGCTAAAAGGGGTCGGGAAAGGCAGTCTTGGAGCTTAGTTTTGAGCTTCTAACGGTCATAACTCAGTCAAATTTTGTCCTACAAAAATTTTAAGAAAAGCAAATTGTTCAGTAATAAACAACCTACAATTTCTTATTCTATCATTTTTTTAATAACTTTGTTAGTTTTTGAAATATTTTGAAAGAAAAAATGATTTTTTAAAAAATTGGAAAATTTTATTCAAAAGTAAATGAATTTTCTTTTTAATTTAGGTTTTTAAAATCGTTCAAATTCCCAGAATCTACTGTTAATACATAAATAAAGTAAATTGCAGAAGGAATACGTTTAATTTTTTTTTATCCGTCAAGTCATTAATTTTAATATCGATTTTTTTTTTTCTCAAAAATCTGGACAATCATTTAATTTTGATTGTAACTTCATTAGTTTTCATGCTAACGACTTCTACCATCACTCAATTTGGTCTTTTCAAGAACTTTAATAGGTGTTATATAAGTTTTCCTCGAAAAACCTTTAATATTTCCGCTACAGAACGTTGAACGTTTCGATTTTAATCGAAACGTTCGAAGATAGCTACAAATAGCTATGTTTGAAATTGACTACAACTTCTGGGAGTCATAACTCGGGTTCTATACCATCTACAAAAATAAAAAACAATCTCTTTGCTATTTAATTACCTTCATTTTTGCTTATGAAAATTTTTTTGATAAAACTTGGAGTTTTGAGATATTCACGAAAAATGGCTCAAAAACATGCATCTTTCGGGCTAAAAACGAACATGTTTAGGCGCAAATAACTCAAAAAGTATTGACTGTACAAAAAATTCTTATAGAGCATAGGGATGAAAATATTTTCATTAATTTTTCCTTAACTTGTTTCAATTGAGCATCGATTCCATCAAAATGTGTCTTAATTTCACTGTATTTATCGAAGATATAAGATTTTTTAACGAAGAAAATCGATTTTCACTTTTTTCACCTATTCACAATTCATTTCCACCACCAAAATAGAGGATGATGACATTCGCAATAATTTTCCCTAAATCTACATCAAATAAGCTTTAACTTTTGAAAGAGGACTATAAGTAGATATGACATGTCAACTTGCAAAAAGCATTTGACGAAAGTTGATCACAATGTACTTACACATTAAGAAATTAAGTTACTACGGACTTGAAACCTTCTTAATTAACTATTGTAATGTTTACATATTAGCTTCTCCTTGGCCAGGTATAATGGACATCGACCTATTGATTACAAAGTCTATTCAGGAATTCCTCAGGGATCATAAGGCCTTTTATGATTTTTATATTTTATTAACGATCTACCATATAATCGTTCAAATTCAAGTAGTCTTTTTTTAATAATAAGAAGACATATTGTTGCTAAATAAAACTGATTGGGTGGTACTTTTCTATGATAAAGCTTTTGATTACGTGATTTATGAGGTAACACGAGACATTTATAAAGTACGAATTAAGCCGATGTTTTCTTGGAGTAACTCTGAAGTTTGGAAACGGCTGAGAGTTTCTTGCGAATTTCAGCGGAAATTTTGGGAACATAGTTGAAAATATTGTTTTCCGCAACGCATGCACCTTCTACTTCTCGTGAAGAATAGTTTGAGTTCCTTTAGGCATGAGTGTCTACGTTGCCCAGATTAGCTCTACATAGAGTGATTGGAGAGGGATTTATGATTTCAATTGGAAAGTTGAGCGAAAATTTGAAACTTAGGATACAGCAACGGCTTAATTTTGAAATAAATAAAGGAGGGTTCTCTTTGCCCAACCTCAACTTCATTGATCAGTATCGTTGAATCTACGCAATTGAACATATAATTGAAAGTAGAATTTGTTCACATGATTCAAGAACATTGAATATGCAGTCTAGAAAGTATGAGTATTAAAAATGGCTACAAAGAAAATTGTAAGTGCTGATGTTCGTATTATGTGTGAATATTTAAAAAACTTAATCAGAAATAGGAAAAAAGAAAACCTCGCCATTGGTGGGTTAGACCATGGGTCTTAAAACGGAGATATGAAGGTGCTACAGTAAAGTTGTTAGTGGAATTGGCTACAGTCTGTTTCGAAATGAAAGAGAGTAATAAAAGCTCATTATGTATGCAAATCGTAAATAAATGTAGTACTGGTGCTTATATTCAATATTTTTATATTATGCACTTTCGGTATAGATGAGGTCTACTTTTAACAAAACTTTGTGCGATCGGACTGTACTAAATTGTAGCAGGTAGCTAAAATTTAATCCCCGACAATCCGTCTTTGTCTATGCCGCTTCAATTTCTCGGTCCATTTCTCTTATAAGTAAACAATATAAAAACAGCATTTCAAAACATGAGGCTACTTTAAGCATCATAACCGGGTTAAGAGGGTTTTTAGTAATTCAAATAAAATTATTCAATATTATTATCAAAATATTTATTTAAATTTAATGAATAGACTTTTATTCCACACAAAAATATATGTATTTTGAAAATTCAAATTATGGTGAGTAAATGTAGTGTTGTATAAATGTACAATAAAGAAAATAAAAAAGTAGGTATATTAAAATTCATCCTCTGAATATTCTGATGAATTATCTTCGTCTCCTAGATTGATAACGATAGGTTCCACAGTAACGTCAATTAAATTATCGAGTTCCCACATTTTCTCCTCTTCTTTTTGTACATGATGTATACATCTTTGCCAGTTATCTGCAGTTACTCGTTCCAAGGAATTTTTTAACAAAATTTTCACGTCACTTAATTTAAACGTCGTATTATTTCGCGCTACATCTCCTTTTACCTGCGCCCAGACTAATTCGATTGGGTTAAGTTCACAGTGATAAGGTGGTAACCGTAGTACCGTTATTTGGCGATTTGTTGCCATTTCATCGATAACATATTTTTTCTGATCTTTATTAAGATTGACAAGTGTCAAAAGTTCCTTTTTCACCATATTTGTTTCAAAAGAAATGTTTTTTCCGGATAACCATTGAATTATATCGGCTTTCCTCCAAGCAGTCGTAGGCGTCCGCTCGGTCTGCCGTGAATGGTAACTGGCATTATCCATGACAATTACAGACCCCGGAGGAATAAGATCCAACATCTGTGTAAAATACTCTTCGAAAACATCTGCGTTCATGTCTTCGTGATAGTCACCTGTATTTTTAGATTCAAATAAAAGTAAACCGCCATCTACAAAACCACTGGCACTACCTATATGTGTCACTATTAATCTTCGCCCTTTACCTGAAGGTGCCTTGAACCCTGTTGAAAGTCCATCCAAAAATGCTTGTCGAAAACTTTTTACATTTTTATCTTGCCATACTTTTGTTACAGTATATCCCTCGTTGACCCAAGTTTCGTCTAGATAATAAATATTCCTCCCTTCGTCACGGAATTTTCTAATTGATCTTAAGTAGGATCTTCGCCAACAAATAATTTCATCTTTATCGATAAGAACTGACTTCCTGTTCTGCTTTTCCCAGCAAAAATTCAACTCTCGTAAGACGGCCCATAATTTGCTTCTACTGATTTTTGGCAAATCGTTGTCCTCTGAAAGTTCACTTAAAATTTTGTTTAGCGTTGGTATTTCTTTTTTAAAATAAAATGAGTGTACTTTTCTGCGAATGACATTTTTGAAGAAATCATCTATAACGACTTTTGACCTCCCTGTAGATGATTTTGGGGGATTTACAGTATCTTGTTCATTTTTTGTTTCCTTTAAAAGTCTGTAGATAGTCGATTTTCCAATCCCTGTCATTTTTGTTAGCATTAGTGTTACCCGATAATTACCTGAAACGAAATATTAGCACGCCCATGGCCGGTTCTTATCTCGGGGTTTTATTACTCTCTTTCATTTCCAAACAGACTATAGAGGTGACTTGGATGCATATAAAAACCATTAGGAATGAATGAAAAAAATTTTGAAGAACTTCTACTGAAAATATCACCCTTTAAACAGAAAAAAAGTTCAAGAATAAACATTTAAAAAAAAAACAAGCTTTTAGTGACGTCTTTTTATTTTCGTATTTTTCTCGAATCCTTTTATTTTCGCAATTACCCCTTTGGTGAATGATGACGCATTTATAATAATTTTTTTACTAGAAAACTGTTGGTTTTATCGAAAAATTACAAGAGGTAATAAATCAGTCTTCCCAAATAAATAATTTGCTTCATATAAAAAATTTCTAATAAAATATTGCAATGGGGTTGACTGTTTCACTTTTTTTTAAAATACGCCAATGGTCGAACAAATATTGAAAAGTTGTTTCTTTATCAGTAGGATGCTCATACCAGGCTTCGTGTCTCTAGAAAAAAATTAAAATGTGAATTTCAATCTCCTCCTTTAAAAAGGTATATCGACTCAGGGGTGCAACTTTCATATAAGGTATTTTTAATTCAATCCTCTTAGTTTTGCCTAAACATTCACTGGTGCCATTTTTGCTACTTCATTTAAAAACAAGGTGTCTACTGGCACTGGTCTGAATGTGGCGGGTTATGGAAGCGCTCTGTATGTAGTCCTTGGTTCACTCTGCGCTTATGCTAGTCCGTGGGGCGCTGAAGAAAATCGGAAGCTTACGGTTCGCGCCTATAAACTCCGGACGATTGTTATCAGTCCGGATCAGTAGGGAGGGTTGCAGCAGTTCAGGCGCTTGCGCCCGAAATCTGTGTCAGCGAGCGTGAATGGGGGACGCGGCCGCGTTGGTTATGTTGTAATGGTATTACAGCATAACACCGTTTAATTTATCATGTGTAATTTTCAAACATTATCACTGCGTTATCAACCTTGGACTGTAACCCGGAGCACCGCGGCTCGGCGCGCTAGAGTGCAGTAATGTCGCGTCTCAGAGCCAACTATTTTAGTCCGAATTGATTGCGGTGGCCCGTCCGTCCCTAGTCTAGTGTTTTTACACTCCTCGTCCCGACACCGCTACGCAGGCGGCCCGTTTTGATGCTAGTGAGTTGAGGGGTGTTTAACACCACTCAAAAAAACCGCCAAAATTCCGCGTTCAATATATAATTTCAGTGACAGTGACAGTGAGATGAGCTACAAAGATCGCGGCTCACCCATACTGTTAGAAAGTGGTTTAAAATCGTTTTTAGGACACCCCGGCCATAATTTTCCACTTATAAACGGTGAGTTACACTCCTGTCATGTGAGTTATTGTTAGCCTGCCCTTTCGGGATAGAACTTGCGCGATTTTCTCTGCGGTAAACTAGACCAGAATATCGAACTAAATTTATACACCCTTGCCGGCACCGAATTGATCGGTGTTCTCTTTGGAATAACATAAACGGTTCGGCGGTTAATTATAACCTTTTAATTAATGATTTTCCAGTTCAGTTTCGTATATTTCGGCCTATTAATTTCATATAATGAAATACATCTAGTCACATGTTTTATTGTAGGTTTCGCATGCGCACCACGACCAACGTCACATTACTTGCCCGAAACATGGGCGCCCGTACGGAAGAATAAGGGGGCTATGACCTTTCGCCACTATTTCTTGTTTACTTCAAAGGAATGAATTATGATACGAAATCCTCCAGACTGAATTACAGTACAGTACCCTCCTTATGAACAACTAACGAAGTCAAACCGATTCCTCTATTCCAAATATTCATTGATTATTTTGATAAATTGTATCTACTATCTTAATGTGAAAATATCTTTACTTAAAACATATTACGATCTATGTTATGTATTTTATTAAACTTTACTTGCCCACATGACTTCCAACACAAGTCAAATTCTAGAAAAATAGGCTTTTTTCTTAAATATAAGGTTAGAAACATCACGTGGTATTTTCCACTGTATTTTATTCTAGCTTACACATTATTCCTATAAACAATCTTTCACGAAACGTTGTACGATTAGGAAATTTCCATTATAAAATCACACCAGTAAATCATAGGCTAATAAATAAGAATCTGTTAAATTGTACATTGTCGAAAAATAATTATTCTGCAATTATTCTATTCAATAACCTTTTACTTTTTAATCGCAGTTTATGAAATCGCTGAATAGACAAATAATGAATAGTGCCTCAAATTACATTTATTAGTTTAAACATAATTACACACAATGGTTCTAAATAACTATTACCAGTGACTATAACAAGAATTCTATTATTGAAATCATCTACAAAAGCTATACGGATTGTACAGACCGATCGAAATAACTCATTTAGAGGGAAAACAAATTGTTACCTGGATTTTTATAAGTGGAAATGCTAAAGGGGCTTATAATAAACATAAAAAAATAAATGCGTGAGCAGGGGTGGCGGAGGTTTAATGGGGGGGGGGGGGTGAAAAGTTGTTAAAAATTATATCATTGGGATTTCTGGCGAAAGTTGGCATCAAACGAAAAAGTATCCAATACAAAAGTTGTAGGTCGTGCAAAAATCTACAACTTTTGTATAGGTCACTTTTTAAGATAACCTTCAAATTTCCGAGAAAAATGCGAAAGACAGATTTTATCCTTATTTTTCGGTTTTTATTTCTCTTTTCCGTAAAAATAATTTAATTTTGACGAAACTTGCTGAAAATATACCTTTTTGTGTCTAAAATAATCACAAATTTTTTTAAAGAAAAAAAATTCTGCTTAGAAAAATCATCGTACAGAGTTCTGCCGGTGATCATTTTTAACATACATACATACTTTTTGGTGAAATAAGAAAATCTGTAATCGCAGTTCAAAAACATGCTTAAAATGCAAAAAAATAAATAATGACTTGCAACAATGAATTTTTCAGTAATTGTTGATAATTTGTTTAAATTTAAAAAAAATCAAAACTGATTACACCATTCAATTTTACGGAAAATAATAAAAAAAAATGTGTCTCGTTGTTTGACCCAAAATTATTTTTCTACAGTACAGAACTCTATACTATGATTTTTCTATTTGTGTTTCACACTAGAAAAAATTAATATTTCGGAAACTTTTTTTTATCTAAAAAATTTAAGACACATAAATCTACAATTTCACCAAGCCCCTACAAAACTTGTAGATTTTTGCATGATCTACAACTTTTGTATCGGATACTTTTTTGTTTTTACGTCAACTTTTGCCAGAAATTCCAATGACAATTTTTCACAACTTTCAACCCCCCAAATCAATCCTCCGCCACCGCTGCTCACGCATTTATTTTATTTACTTTTATTATAAGCCCCTTTGCCATTTCCACTTATAAAAATCCAGGTAACAATTTTTTTTTCTCTAATTGTACCTAATTTGGTTGTACTGTAAGTAAATATGAAATTTAAAATTATATTGTCAGTTTTAGGAAGTTCTTAACATATTTTTTAATTAGCTATACATTATTTTATTAGGTCTTGTATTTTTAAATTATCGTCAAATTAACGCATTTCAAGTTAATTCAAAATTAAAAAAATCTGTTAAAATTGTACATTTATTGACATATTATTATGATAAGTCAGTACTATCGATTTGCATAAATATTGAAAGAAATAGAATTAATTTAAATCTCTGGTAATACCAAAATAATAAAACAAAATAAAAGAGAAAAAGCAAATCTAAATAGTAAAAAAGTATTTAATAGTTATCAGTAGCACAATTCTAAAATAAATTTTGATTAATTCTAGATAAAACTTAATTGAAGCGATTGGTGTTGTCATTGGAGCACCCGTAAAATAATTCACTTAATTAGTCGTATCTATGTTAAACCTAATAAAATGCTATTAAAATGTATACACACCTATACATTTAAATATTTGATATATCATTACTTAAGATTATATTTTAAATTATCGATCCTGTCAGGATTTTATTACAATTAATATATTCTATGTCTATGTGCATGTCTGTTGTATGTTTTATACTTTAATTTCTAAAAATAGACGTTTCCTAAATATTGCAGTTATTATATCTAGAACAAAATGAATTAGATTACTACATTTTACCACCGACCAAAAAAAGCGGAGAATATTACTCCATGAAATTCATAAATTTCATTTCGGTAATACACTTTTTTGCAGTCACTTTCACGAAGGGCTTTAGTAAGCTCAAGTAATTACATTTCTTGCAATAATAAATTTTCAATGAAAAGATAACTTTCAGAGCAGGTACATGGAACATAAATATTAACAAACTCTATATAGCTTGCTTTAAGTAATATTTATATTAACAATGAAAGTAAATTAATAGATTTACATCACTGTAAACAATTAATGAACATTGCGTCAGGACCTTTTTTTAGTAAATGAAGCAGGTAGTAATTTATTTACGTCTCTATGTTATTGTAATGTTCATTAAATAATACACTACACATTCAATAAAATTCTAGTAATACTACTTAAAAGTAGATAAAGTGTAATTTTCAAATTACGTGTTTATTTCGCAAACAGTAGGTACTAAATACGAGGGATATTATGCAAGTTTTCACACTAATGAAACGAAAGACATTTTCCAATATAGTATCCGTTATTTTTCAATACACTTGCTTCGCCTGGCATGTAACTACTTTATTCAACCAGAAAAAAATTAAATTAGTTGTCGTTTATGAAGTGAAATTTCTCCTGAATAAAGGGAAATCAATTGGAACCAACCACAGAGGGTAGTCCAGTTCAGAGAATATGCAGTGGAATTTTTGTGAACTTACTTGTCGTAAAGAAAGAGTAAGGCACTTTGTGATGCAAACCAATACGTTTTTGGTCAATAATACACAATTTTATTAATGTAACTCCTGTAATTTTAATGCTCTATAATATTCAATGAGGGTGATTCCTGCTTGGTTCCAAAAACAGTTATCATTAGCTTTTTAACTGAAATTTATGTCCGGGAGTTTTTTGAAGGTCGATGACGGTAATAGCAGTGACATATCTTCGCTTGTTACTGTCTAAGTAGGATCTGCATTCAAAGATTTCAATGATTTTGAGAATTTTGCCACCTAGACAGTTTTTGTTTAGGGCAAATAAGGTTGGAAACTACCTTGCTGAAACTAATCATCTTTTGATTCAGATTTACTGCTATTGACAATAGACACTTTTAAACGACGGGCTTGTTTTCCATTTTTAGGTTCATCTTCAATGAGTTAACGACTATACTGACTTTATGTTCGAACAATATTTTACTTTAAAATGTGAGTAAGTGTAATTATTAATTCGTGGATATTTCTAAGACTATTCTAACCCTTCTTAAAAATGTATTGACTCTGATAATCTTTTAGTAATTGGTTTTATAAGCCAGGCAACGAAATGAAATCAAATTTGACACACAAGTAGAAAAATCATGACTACATATATATATTTTTCCCCATACTCCTTGTATAAAGAACGCTTGCAAGTCTTCTATTGTTGTAATAAAGGCAATTGGGTTTTTAATTGGGGTATACTTAAAATGAACATCAAAAATTTTGTGAGTAATTAAAATAATAAAACAAACATTGTCTTAATACATTTTAAAATCTTTTTTAAGCTAATGTAGACTTAAACTATTCTTTGCGTGATTTATTTTAATGTATATATTGAAGCAATTTGTCATTTTATAATTTATCGTTTTTATCAACTTTATAAAAGTAGAACCAGCGCTGTTTATAAACAATGGTTACAATGAGAATAAAACAATTGTGACATCGTCGTAATATTTAAAACTGCGCGAAATTTTAGTGTTACTTGACGTTTTTAGCTTTTAAATATATAAATTTGAATATAACTCAACCAGAAATTGGTATGTGAGAGAAATATGTTAAAAAATAAGACTAATTTATTCAAGATTCTGAAAATGGACGTTTGATGTTGTAAAAACAGAATAAAAAGGATTTGATTTTTTAAAGCGATACTAAAATATTAAATATATCTGCATAACTTAAATCAAAGCAGCAATAAAATCAAGATAACCGAGTGCTTATTTTAGACCTGGAAATCAATATAAACATAAATATTTTTAATGGAATATGTGTGCTTTACAGCAGAAATATTTTCAGTTTGTTGCATTTATGAAATACCTGAATCATATTTATTTATAATTTATTTTTTGAATTTTATAACTAATAATCATTCTTACCTCACTAATGACCACAGGTAACTGTAGTTCTTTTGCTTAAACTTTAAAAATTAGATTTATTTCTCTGTCCACAAAATAATTGTTTTCTATTACCATATTTTTATACAAGAAA